GACACCTCCTTATCAATTATTGGGTGTGGACCACATCCATCCTGACTCAATTGGCCCTGTCAACACTGGTTCTCCACTTGTAAGGTTACTCCCTTCTCTTCATGTGCCAATATATACTTATGCCTATATCTGTAACTTTCACTCCATGCATCTGAAGAAGTGGGTTTTTTGCCCACACAAGCTTATGCCTGAATAAATCTGTTAGTCTTTAAGGTGCTACCGGACTCCTCATTGTTTTTATGTTCTCCAGATGCCTGTACTGAGCCTGTAAACCAGCACTATCTTCAACCCACTCTGGAGAAAGTTCTCCCCCTTCTCACTTATATTGTGCAGTGTCCAGCATGCTGTTAACATAAATGACATTAAACACACTAGCCCCTAAACAGTTTGTAAGCAGTGCCATCTTGCCTTATTTCACCAAATGCACATTCCACCATAATCCTGGAACTGCTGTGTATGTAATTAAACCTTCTTCTGCCAGGTATTCTCACATCAGGGTAGGGCTTCATGAGCCAGGACAGTGGAGGATAATTTGGGTCCCCTGAAATATGAGGGGTCCAGACACCATTACTATTCATATTACGGGGAGAAAATGAAGTCTTTTCTTGTCCAAACAGGTAAATGTGAGATCTTTGGAATACCCTGGCATCATGCACTCTGCCAGTTCCTCCCATTTTGGCATCCTTGGCCATCCCTTTATGGTCAACCAAGGCCTGCATAATGAGCAAGTAGTATCCTTGCCAGTTGACATATTCATGTGCACCTGGTAGCAGGGCCAGCTCCAGGGTTTTTGCTGCCCCAAGCAGCAGGAAAAAAAAAAGCCGCAATCGCGATCGACAGTAGCTCAGCCGCACAGCTTTCTTCTTTGGTGGCAATTCGGCGGCAGGTCCTTCCCTCCGAGAGGGACCAAGGGACCCGCCGCTGAAGAGCCTGACGTGCCGCCCCTTCCTTTTGGCCGCCCCAAGCACCTGCTTGCTAAGCTGGTGCCTGGAGCTGGCCCTCCCTGGTAGGGGCAAACAGTGATCATATATGAGCCACCACTAGCCCCAGCACAATTCAGGGAACCCATTCTCTTAAAGCTAGGTCTTATTTTGGGGACATTAGCAGCCATCACCACCCCTGGATAAACCACACAAACCTTCTGCACCACAGCACCAACAGTTGACTTGCTAATACCAAACTGATTGATTAGCCAACAAGCTGTAGCCCTCTGGGATAGCCAAGTAGTAATAGCAACCTGCTTTTGCACTCGTAAAGTCCTCTCTTGTCTGCATGTCCAGGTACTGAAGTGTCAGGGCAAGCTCCTCACACAATTCCAGGAAGATGGCCTTCCTCGCCTGGAAGTTCTGGAACCCCTGCTGTGCATCCCAGCTTTGCATGACCATGTAGTCCTACCACTCTGTGCTTGATGCCACAGCTATTAAAATCTGCATCAGCTATCTTCACTCCACTCTGCAGGCACACTGCCTGCATGATCTCCATATCAAGGCACATAGCCACTTTCTCAGGGTGATGAGCCACTGCGGACATGCCCTCCATCCAGGGTCGGTGCTTCCACTAGGCAACCCTAGGCGGTCGCCTAGAGCAGCAGGATATGGGGGGTGGCATTTTGCTGTCATCGGCAGAAATTTGGCGGCGGGGGGGTCCTTCCGCTCCATGTCTTCGGCGGAAATTTGGGTCCTTCACTCGCTCCAGGACTCACTGCTGAAGTGCCCCAAAGACGCGGAGCGGAAGGACCCCCGCCGCCAAATGCTCAGAGGAGGAGCACTGCCGCCTAGGGCAGTGAAAACCCTGGCGCCGCTCCTGCCTCCACCATGTCTCAGGCCTTGCATTCACCTCCTGTTCCCAAAATAAAAGTTTTGCTAATGCCAACAGCTGGACTAGGTCATTGTTATGAGCTGAATCCATGGCTTGCTATTTGCGGGGACAGAGGCTGCGCACAGCAGTGAGGGGCTTGCAGAGTTAGAAGCATTTTATTTTACTGAGTTGGCAAGCTAAGAACTCTGTCTCACAGGAGCCCAGGAAGGACAGACAACTTCTTCTACAATACACTGCAAAACCATTCATAGTGTAGTGCTAAGAACCATGGGATATGCCCACAGAAATCATAGCATCTAACCTGCATTAGTAGAGTACCAGTGTGGATGTGGCTATGACTTGAGTGTGGCTTAGCAGTGTATATGCTCACCCTGGGCTTGGCTAACTTGATGTCCCAGACCTGGCTTCCCACACTCTGCAGTGAAGACATCCCCCAAGGTCAGAGCCGTCCTTAGACATATGCAGCATACACGGCTGCGTAGGGCACTGGAAAATTTGGGGCACCATTCCCCTCGCTGGCTGCGGCTGGAATCCTCTCTTTCCTGTCACCTCCATCACTCACTCTGCCGCCCCAGCCCCGGGGAGTCCAGAGCGGCGTGGCCAGTCACTGGCAGTGCGGCGGCCTGGCCCACTGCTGCCCAGAGCAGAGTCCCTCCCTGGACCTTGCCTGCCCGCGCCGCTTGGTCTCCATCACGCACCCACCTACACACTTGTATTACTGTTGTTGACTTGTTGTTATTACTGCTTGGTACTTCCTGTCAAAATGCTCGTGGTGAGCCAGGACTGGCGAGGGGCTGCAGGAGGGCTGTGGGCTCTGGCAAGATGCAGCCCCATGTGACAGCGTGAAGCCTGCCTTGAGCCACTGCCGCAGAGTCTGTTGCATACGAAGCTGTGTGTGTGTCAGTAATGGGGGGGATTCTGGGAATCCGCGGGCGGGGGTGGTGGCTGTGCCCCCTCGACACACTGGAGTCAGTGGCGCCGGCTGGTGACCGCCTTAAATGGAGCATAGGGGCACCAGTTTAATAATACTACGTAGGGCCCTATAAATCCTAAGCATGGCCCTGCCCAAGGTAATTACACCTCTACCTCGATATAGCGCTGTCCTCGGGAGCCAAAAAATCTTACCGCGTTATAAGTGAAGCCGCGTTATATCAAACTTGCTTTGATCCACTGGAGTGCGCAGCACCGCCCCCCCAGAGCACTGCTTTACCACGTTATATCCGAATTCGTGTTATATCGGGTCACGTTATATCGAGGTAGTGGTCTATTTATTATTTAAAATTGTTAATTGTCTCCCAACACAGTTTAAGCACAGTTCTGCCTTCACATGGCAATGGGATCTTAACTATGTCCCTAGCCAGACCTAAAGCTTTAGGTAGTCCAAAACATTAGTATGATACAGGAACATAGTTAAAGCCTCAGAACAGAACTACACCTCTACCTCGATATAACGCTGTCCTCGGGAGCCAAAAAATCTTACCGCGTTATAAGAGAAGCCGCGTTATATCAAACTTGCTTTGATCCACTGGAGTGCGCAGCACCGCCCCCCCCAGAGCACTGCTTTAG